TGAAAAACCAACACGCACATGCACGCCCAAATAACACAAAACAGATGGCTTCATCCCCAACCATGAGTTACTTCACCACAAAATCTTCGGGTAGCCCTTGGAAACTCCAACAACAATCCCCAAAAAGCCTGGCCTCTGCTGACCTTGACCCACGTTCAGATACGTCACTCGGTGGGAACACCACGGCCTAGTTCTGCCCCTTTGTTTGTTTCCCTCAGCGTCACATAGAGCCTGGGGACCCCTGGAGTAAAAACACTTGACAGTAGCAACCAGCTCGCAGGACGGTCATGCACATTCCTCTGTCTGGGAACGTCCTAATAAACTGTCACAGGATCTAAGTAGTTGTGAATGTGAGAGGGAGGAAGCGGCGATGGGAGTAATAACATGGAGCTACAGTGTGAGAGCACAGATATTGCAAAGAGAAAAGAGTATATTCACATTATTAATCTAGAAATAACACAATTATTATGATTATGCTCACTTTTAGAGGGAATTTCCTATTTCCTATTGTCCACTTATTTAGACAACAAACAGAAAAGTGTGATCCAGTAGTCAAGAAAGTGGTCAGCTAAGTGGCTATAATCAATATTTCTATAGTACAATGTATAAAATAACAATGTGAAAGGGGTCGATGGTAGTGATGAATCACCTGAGGCTGCAGTTCCCCTCATTGTTTAGCTGTCCGGCCACAAGTTTACTGTTTTGGTTCACTCTCACCTCTCTCATAGCCTCGTTTTTATTCACAGCAGGCAGCTGTTTTATAGAGAAAAAGCTCGATACAATCTATTCAGCACTAAACATCAGACAAAGTTAGCAACCAGCTGGTGAGCTTATGTCACAGACCATGAAGAAGCTGATGGATTGATGTCTCCTGAATCCACATCAAATTGTATTTCATCTGCTTCAATAAAGTTGAGCGAGTTCACACTCTCTCTTTTTTGGCCATGCTTCTGTATCCAACTCAATACTGAACCATGAAATGAAAACTAGAAGGTGACTCACTCTGTAAACAGCTCACCCCCAATAATACACTCTTTCTTACATTCTCTTATGAATATCTTTTTTCCTTGACCCTGAAAGTATTCATTTGTCCATGCTGTGGTGATGTTTGGTCAAGAGACAACACTTTGGGGATAAAGAGGTCCTGATCTGTGGTTTCCTCTCACACCACACTGAGGCTGAGTGGAAGAGGGCCTGTGGTCTTTTCCCCTCCAGTTTTGGAAGACCTGAACTATTTAGAATAGTTGCTGTCCTGACATTGAGGGAGATTAGTGGTACTATGTGTGGCTGTGAGTCATTATAACTATTATCCTTAACCTGATTGGACAGCTGACAGAATGAAGAAGGTCAGATGTGTTTTCATCAGATCTGCACAGGGATTCAAAGTGTTCATAGTATGTCTACATCAAGAGTTCATATGCATCACAATCTACTGAATACTTATTATAAATTGACAGTAATAGAAATTATCTGTTGTTAATCCAATTCTAATTAACCAACTTTTTTCTATAGTAGTTTGACATTTTGGAAAATAGCTTATTTTCTTTCTTGCTGAGAGTTAGATAAGAAGATAAATACCACTGTCATATTTGTATCTTAAATGTTAAACTGGAACCAGGAGATAGCTAGTTTAGCTTACCATAAGTGGTGGGGAAACAACTAGCTTGGCCTAAAGTCCCCCTACTCTCAAAAAATATGATTTTCTTCTAGTTCCTACAGTAAGTTGTTTGAGCTTCACTGTGCAGAATGATGTATGTGCAGAGTTTGACACTAGAAGGATGTTTTCACATTCATCTGCAGAAAGTGGAAGGTTTCTGTGTGCTCATTGAAAATCTGAGCAAAATGAATTTTATTCGCAGTGAAGTGGGAGACATCTTGTGTCCAGCAGGAAATTTTAGAAATAAAGACAATTTACATATTCATAGATTATTGATTGGAATTTTTTATGAGGTAGGAGTAGAATTAATTTTTAAGGATTTTAATATAGAGATTGTCCTTTTTTTAGTTTCTTAATACATGTCTGGAGGGGGACTTTAAAAAAACAACAAAGAACACACTATATCTCATTAGTTTAGTAAATACACAAACAGAAA